AGAAAAGCCAGCCATGGTCGAGCAAGACCTTTGACTTATCTTCATATAGGCAGAACTGGTAAAAGAAAGGATCCAGGGCTCCTCCTAAGCACATGTGACCCCTGAGGAACAGATCCTCAAATGACCTTAAGTGTAAGGTCCATCTCTATGGCCTTAAACACCCAAAAGGAAAGTATAACCAAAGATTAAAGGGTCTGCTATAATTTCATCAGAGTCCACATGTATAGCTAAAGGCTACATAAGAAGCAACAATGCCAGACAGGTGATACCTTCTTTTGAGTTGTTGGCCAGGGTGGCCAAAGGGATTCCCAGATTGTAACCCAGCATCAAAATGGGAAAATGAATTGCAGACCCTAATCTTATCCAAAGGAACATAGACAACTGATTACCTCTAGATGAGGAACAGCTGACCCTCCTCAAACAAAGACCTCTAGATAGGCTGACTAGATTCACCAGAAGGGCAAGTAGTGGGGAATGGTTGGGGGTGCCAACAACACAGCAGACAGTAGCAGGGATATCAGAGTATAAGGGCCCTACTTGGGGAAGGGAGGCTATGGCAGGGTGCTATCTGGGAAGTGGGTGTAAAAACAAAGTAGGTTACTCTTTGGGAGTCCCTTGGGCCACCCTGACCAGCAACTCAAAAGATATTGCCTATCTGGCATTGTTGCTTGTTATGTAGGCTTTAGCTGTACATATGGACTCTTAAAAAATTATACTGGCCCCTTTAATCTTTGGTTATACTTTCCTTTTGGGTGTTTAAGTCCATACATTTTGCCCAGATAATCCATTTATTTTTAATCTTAAGTTCCTGCATGTGCCATTTTTCATTATGTGTGGTATTACAATGCAATATGCTGCATACATCAGTGTTGACATCAATGAATACTATGGAGTGCAATTATAAATAACAACACAAATCATGTTATAATGCATTCATGTTTATTTTATTTATTTATTTACTTATTTGTTTTTTGAGACAAGGTCTCACTATCAATCCTGGCTGACCTTGAACTTACTATGTAGACTAAGCAGGCTTAGGGATCAGTCTGTCTCAGCTTCCAAGTTTTGGAATTTAAGGTGTGTACCACCATTCTCAACTTGTTTTATTTTTAATCACTTTCTTTCTCCAGTTTTCTTTTCATAAATAATATTTAAACTCTTTAAATAATACATATTGATGAGTTTCTTTTCTGTTGCTGTGATAAAACACTATGACCAAGGCCACTTATAGAAGGAAGAGTTTATTTGATTTAAGGTTCCAGAGGGAGAGTCCATCATGGCAGGGAAGGCATGGCAGCAGTAGGGGTCCTGAGCAGAAGCTGAGTGAGCGCACTCTCCAAAAGGCACAGAAGCAGAGAGAGACAGACTAGAAGAGGGAATGCTATGTAGTCTCAAAACCTGTCCCCAGGAATGTGCTTCCTCCAGCATGGCCACACCTCCTAAAGCTTCCATTATCCTCCTGAAACATTGCCACAAACTGCAGACCAAGTTTCCAAATACTTGAAACCTATGGAGGACATTCTCATTCAAATCACCACATATGCATATAGAGGAATAGAAAGTCTGACTAAGCAAGCGTAAAAATGCAGCACCAACTCTAAGAATTCCAACTCTATATTAGAAAACAAGAAAAATCACAACTTTCATAAACAAGACACAAAAACCTTTATCAAGTGTGGAAGCGTGAGGTGTTTAGACCAACAAATTCAAACATGCTCCTTCCCAGGCATGCCATGATTGTGCATACAGTGGTCATTAGAACATGTACTTTGATTTACTTAAAAATTTATCAAATCAGTATTATTTTGTCTTTTGGTGACTTGTAAGCCTTTTATAAATAATGTTGAAAATTTTTTCGGAGTGTGTCAGACCTTCACCTCCTCACCACTTGTGCTGACACTCCTGTGCTCTTGTGCTCTGAAATTGATACTTAGTATGTATCTGTAAGTCAAATTCACTGCTGGGAGGTGCATGTGGCATCCAATAACTTCCTCCCATGGTCCTGACAACAACCTGAGGAAAGAATTCTCCAAACCCCAGTTTGAAGAATCTTAACGAGTTTATTGGACTTGCAAACTGAGCTTGGGGTGTGGGTTTACTTACAGACAAGTGGGCACCCCCCCCATTCACAGCTGTCTTCCAAAGTCTACACACAGACATAAATCCTGTGGTTCCAGACAGCCTCACAAAATGGTGAGAGACAAGCCTTGTGGTTTTCCCCGCTTTTATACCCTTAGCCCCTCCCCTGCAAGTGGCTACGGTCAACTGATTGGCTGGAAGAGGGAAAGGGAGTGGCTTCTTTGCAGAGCATGGAAAGGAGGTGGGTCCATGGCTTGTCATCATAGGGTCAGAGGAACATTCATGTCACACTCCACTGCTTCCTCTGGCTGTTACAAAACTTTCTGCTCACCTCTTCCCCGAATATCCCTGAGCCTCAGAGGGTGTGGGGCAACCTTTCTCCCATTGACATAGGCATTGGACTCTTTAAGTCTCTGCATCCTGTGCTGTCATGGGCTGATGGCTCTAGTTAGTGGCATTCCACCTTCTACAAAAACAGAAACAGCAAGAAGCAAGAACATGTAAACAGTAACTGCTATAATAGCTCATGGACATAAACACAAATGCTTGGATGGTACTTTAGTAGGTGCATCACATCCATTTAAAAATAAAATTGAAGTGGCTTCTCCACTGGGACCTATAACCCCTCCTGACACAAAGGTGTGTCCTGATCTACAATAGCAGATGTGCGTTCTCTACCTAGGAGCAGGCATTAGGTCCAATGGATAATTAGGTGGTTGTACATACACTAGACGAGCCATTATTGCACCAGCAGGAATATCTTGTTTCACACGTTGATAGTGCAGCATGTTGGGTACTTCACTGAGCATGATAATGGGGGACAATTCCCCTCCAGCCATCTGCATAGTGCGTTCTGGCACTATAAAAAACATATATCCAGTGGCAGGGAGTTTCCAGCTTAGTCCAAGCTTGATTTCTCCCTCTCCTGCACTCACATTGTGCAGTGTCTTCAGCAATAGAATCTTACCGTCCATGTCAGGTGTACAACCAACATTATTGGCAATTACCTTTACAGTTTTGGGGACCTCTGGGATCCCTTTGGCCAACTGCTCATAGGGAGCCAACCCACCCCGGGTACTGGGATTTTCATTTAACAGTTTTATGGTTTCTGGAAGGGCTTTTTTCCACCCCTAGGTTTCCTCTGGGCTTAACACTTTCAACTGTTCCTTTAGCAACCTGTTTTTTCTTTCAATTAACCCTGCTCCTGTAAGGTGGTATGGAATATGGAAATACCATTGAACCTGATTATCCTCAGCCCAAGCTTGTAATCTGTACCTCTGAAATAAGTGCCTCTGTCATTATCAATTCACCTCAGACACCCATATATGACATTGAGTTCAGTAAACCCCTTAATAATAGACTTGCCTGTTGCTTTCTTAGAAGGAAAAGCCTGGCTAAGGCCTGTTGCAGTGTCCACACAGGTGAGAGTATATTTACATCTCTCACTGACTGGCAGGGCCCCTATACAATATGCTTGCCAGTCTCTCACAAGGGAGGCTGCTTCGTGTATGTATCCCATCATGGCATCCATCCTCCTGGTTCCATAACCAAGAACATGCCTCACAGGCCTGGACAGCTTGTTGGATGCCAGCATATTTTACCAGAATGTCAGATGCTTTGGCATTTCTCCATCTTGTGTCAGCTCCTCTGTGGCCTGATTTGATATGAATCCAGTCAGCTGCTCCTAGGGGAACCTGAGGGCAGACAGCCCTCACCTTGGTGAGGGTATCAGCTTCCTGATTCCCAGGGGGACTCACCAGGCAGTGGGCAGCCACATGGCAAACTACCAGGGGCACTAGCTCCTCCTGCATTTTATTACATATGTCCTTCCACATTTGTTGTCCCCATAGTGGCCGTCCCATCACCTGCCAGTTTTCTTTCTCCCACTGAGCCATCTATAAGTTTCAGCCTTTGAACACAGCCCAACTGTCAGTACAAATTGTAACTGGCCAAGGCTTCCTCATTATTACCATCCATAAAGCTCTCAATTCGGCCCATTGACTGCTTTCTTCTTCTCCCCTCTCTAACCACATAGTGTCAGTGTTCATCTGTATTGCCACTGCTACACATTCTTGTCTTGCACCCCTGCTAGTACTATCAGTATACCAGGCATCAGCCAGAATTGGGGGAGTTCCTTCTAGCACTCTGTCAGGTATTGCTAGAGGGTCAAATTAGGAGGGGGGGGGAGAAACTCTGTGCCTTGAATTGACAACAGTCTTAGTACTGCTTGCATTCGTGATTGGGCTTGCTGACACCACCCCTCACTGTTGCAAATATATGTGCCATCTTTTCAGCATTTGGTTTTGGGCCACCCCTGACAGGGGCTTGGCTAACAGGCCCTCCACCCATCCTTCTGTGGGATATGCAGTATTTACAGTAATGGGGGTGGGGCCCGTAATGGATTCCACCTGTTGCAATACTTTATGCACAGCCAGCAGTTGCTGTTCTAGTGCTGTGTACCGGGACTCCGCCCCTTTCAGTGATTGGGACAAGAAGCCAATTGGGGCCCTCTGTTAGGGTTATTGTTGCCACAAGCCCCACCCATAACCTTCAGGGCTCTTGGTGACTTCCAAAAGCAAGGGACAGCAAGGTATTGGGGCACACAGCTGCTTAGCTTGCCCAACCAGTATCTTGGCCTACACAAAAGCCTTTTGGGCCTTTACATCCCAATATCATCTAGCACCTCTTTTTTTAGATTATACAGGGGATGGGTAACCTGAGCAAGGTGAGGTATAAAAATTTGCCAGTACCCGAGAAGTACCCAAAATACCTATAACTGCTTAGCATTTATTGGTACAGGTTGTTGTAAGATTTTCTCAACCACTGCACTGGATCTCATGTGAGTTCTGCCTGACCATAAAACTCTTAAGAATTTGACTGGCTTCTGTCTTTTCCACCCCCGAGTAATCACCTTTACTGTTCCTACCCTGAGCTGAAACTCTCCCACAGTAGTATGTAGGGTGTGACCCAGCAGGGACTACACCCCTAAAATGTTCTCTTGAAGGGGAGAGATGCACACCTTGTGCTCCTGGGGGGGGGAGGAGATAATTTCCCACTCCCAGAATGAGGCTAGTCCACTTTACTTGTATGGTTTTATCCCCATACCCATCCACTGCTATCCATTGGCCGTAATGTTTTGGGGGATTGCCATCAATTAATGTATACTCTACCAGAGTATCCACTAGGTGCCATGTCCCATGAGTTTTGTATATTAGGGGGAGCTAATAAATCCTCAATTCAACATGTGGTCACCCAGGATGGCCCTCAACTGTGGGCAACCTTAGCCACCCCTTCAAGGCAGTGGTTGAGGGGGTCCCAACCAATGAAGCTGCTTTCCTCTGGAACAGTGGGCACAGTTGGAGTTACCCACACCTTCTGGTCCCCAGTTTCTTTACTTCTGTGGTGAATTGATGGTCAGGGCTTAAAGCCCCCCACAGGCTCACTAGCACAGTGTTTGGCTGCCCATCTATCTTGTCCCTAGCAACTGCTGCTCTTCACAGATCCATCCACATCTGTGCTCAGGGGACATGGAGGGGCCCCTGGCTGAGTTCTGGCCCCTTTCTCTTTGTCTATTTGCTTTAGCACCTTTCAAACCCTGTTTACATATTTGTCTAAATCATTTGAATCCACCAGAGCCTCATTAGCCTCATACAGGTCATGCCTGACCAGGGGCTTAGCACTGCCAAAATAGCTCCATACCAGTCTCATGGGCCTTGCTGAATCAGTTTCTTTCTTAAGTCTCCTGTAAACACAGTCCTGTCTGGGCCAATGAACTGGGCATCAAATACAGCTTCCCTCATACCCAGTTCCCTCAACAGAGCCTGTCCTTCCTCAATGGTTTTCCAGTCTCTAGTAATCATGGGAATCTCAGCTGGAAATACCCACATAACCTGAATAGCTCATATGAGCCAATCCATCATGGACTGGTTTCCCTCATGGTGCCTTAAATTGTGAAGTCTTTGTGTCAAAGAGTGATGAGTGGTTATGTTGTTTAACTTCTCTGCTTCTATAGAACTTAAAATGATTCCATCTGCCCCCATGTCCCATAGCTTCACAAGCCAGGTGGCCAAACCCTCCTTCATAGCTTGTTTAAATGTCTTTCTCAGTTCTAATAGTTCTGGTGCTGAGTATTCTCTGATTAACATGGTCTCCTGCACCAGGCTATTGTTAAAATTTCCACTGGCATGTTGGACCATGGATTTTCCCTTTCTTTGAATTAAAGATCAGACCCGAGGAGCATCTCCCTCCATCTGTAGGTCACTTCCTTATTCCTCACTATTGGACTCTTCCCAGGGGTTCCAGGTTTTAAGATTCCAGGATGAGCCTGTTATTATCATTCTTATCTGGGCTTTTTTTCCCTTTTGACCTCCTAGACATAAAAAATGGCATGCCAACACCTCCATCTCCTTTTCTCTCTTATCTAATTTACTGGCAAGGTCAGAGGCCAGTACCAAAGAGGCCAGCCTTATAAACCTCTCCCACTCTAATTCCTCTCTAACACCTACAGTTTCCCTTCTGGCTAAGGCCTCTGCC